GGCGGAGCCTATGATTACGTCTCTCGGCGCACCGCGTACGTTATGAATATGAGGAAGCACTCCCACGATAAGTTCGTCACCGACAACGATGTCACTCGGGCCGTCAACCAGGTGTGGACCCTCACCCTCACCCTCTCGCCCTCACCCTCGCCCTCGCCCTCGCCCCCACCCTTCACCCTTCACCCTTCACCCTTCACCCTTCACCGTCACCCTCACCCTCACCCTCGACCCTCGACCCTCACCCTCGACCCTCACTCTCGCCCTCACCCTCAGGAGTCGTTCGTCGACACGATCGAAATCGTCAACGGCGACACCATCCACGGCTTCGCACACTACTGGGTCTCCGGAGTCTGGGAGCCGGGCAACGGCCTCTCAACGTCCACGCTCCAGGAAGTCGAAGACGGCCCCACCGACTTTTGGGTGTGGCCCTTTGATGTGCGCCTCCGGCAAGACGGCTGCATCGTGTGCCCGTGCGAGAGCGCGCCGTGCGACACGTGTCAGTGCGCCCTCGACTCTCAATCGCGTGGCTGCTGGGACGACGACATCACCACTCCAAGCGACACCTTCGACGCCGATACAACCAACTACCCGCCCAAGCAAGGCTCCTGGTGGAGGGGCTGGCTGCAGAACACGCGCGGCACGGCCAACGCGCGAAAGAACGCGTACGCCCCTCCCTCCTCTCTCCTCTCTTTTTCTCTCCCTCCTCTCCCGTCTCTCCCTCCTCACCCCCCCCCCCCCCCGCCCTCCCTACCAGGTACGGTTGCGAGCTCGGCGTCTCCGGCACCTTCCAGCGCTCCTCCGTCGCCAACCAGGACCCCGTCTTCTACCTGCACCACGCGTTCACGTTCGTGGTCGTCGAGCGCGCCATGCGTCGCCAGGGCGAATACGCCGCCAAGGGGGAGGGGGGGAACCACCAGTCGCCGCCCTTCTACGGGCTCGACGAGGACTTCAACTACGGCGAGAGGGAAAGGGAGTGCCCCGGGAACAACCTGGACGAAGGGAGCCCCTTCAACCACCTCGGGGCGTAAACGAAGGGGCAGGGCGGCGGCAGCCGCCACACGTACGAGGACATCCTGGGCCAGGGGAACTTCAGCAAGCGCCATTACCGCTGGGGGGTCGAGGGCGAGAATTGAAAGGCAACGGCCAAGGGGCAAGGCGGCGCCGAAAACGGCGCCGGGGCCGCCTGTGGCAACGCCACCGCTGGCCTTCCCACACGAGGACCCACCTCGGCGGGTCGGCGCCACCCATGGTGGCGCCGCCCTCACCCCTCTGGCGAACGCGCTACAACTGGGTAAGAAAGAAGACGCAGCCCATAGTCTCGACTCTCCCGCCAAAGGCTCACGA